GTGGGCAGTTTTACTTTTCTCTTTAATACAAACGATTAGTTACATGTAACCTACAAGAAGATCGAACTTATTGACTCATCCTGTGCTCTGTCCATGTGTCCCCGGTGACCCTATGTGTAAGTGAATTAACGTGACGGAAAAGCGGGGGGAAAAGCTGAGAAGGAGAGGAAAATGGCTTAGACAAGATTGCGTTCTTTTCTACTTTTTTTTATGTTCACGTTCTGGGCGCAGAAAGGTTACGAAGATTTGTTTGTTCATTTTTTTTCAAAATAAGAAGCTCACGACGCCCCCCTGGGAATATCACTACGACTTCTCTTTTTTCCCCTGGATTTCTGTTCTCTAATTTGTCTTTGGATCCGTAGTTCATTATTTTTTTCTTTGGTCTCGATGTACCTTCTCTAGCTCTTTTTCCGGTACTTTTCCTATGGTTCTTCCTTTCCTGGTAACACTATCTGGTTTGTTTCACATCCGTTAACTTTATCTTGTCATGTCTACCGTGCCTCTTTTCGGTTTTTCTATTCCTCCCTCTTTCTCTTTCTCTCTAATCCCCCACTCTCCCCCCTCTGTGTCTCTCTGTCTGCATCTCTCTCTCTTTAACACACCCCCCCCACACACACACGCGCGCGCACACATACACACACACGCTTTATATACTTACATATTATGCACATACGTAAGCACGTGCATGCCTATTCACGGACATACTGACCTATTATATGAAAAACAACTCTTTCAGATTTTAATTTAAATGTCAATGGAAGAACAGCTTCACACAGTTTGCTCTACCCTTAGGTTGTTTTCTGCCGTAGATGACCCGTTTGCCTTGTATGCATCAGCGCTGGGCTCCCCGTCTTTTCTTCAACGTTAAAACAAAGTTCCGAAAAGTAAAGAAGACCCGTCAGAGAATAGTTCACCTTTAACTTTAACTGCTCTAGTTTCTCGGTCAGATTTCCCAAACACGTCGTTTTACGAGACGAAGTTAAAATCGCATCACGTTTTGCGCTGTGCTCAGTGGAACAGAATGCTCAGCGTGAGTACGTTCTAGGAACTCTCCACGACCAATCACGCCTACCGCTTCCATGCCGGTGGCGGGGATTTGGCATGTGAAGACAGGTGCTTATGGTCGAGTGCCTGTTGGGATATCCTCAGTGGCCACTCAGGGGAAAACCTGTGTTAAATTTCAATTTCCGAGGACTTCTTCGAGATTGGAGGTGGATTTTTCCAACTAGGTCAGAGCCAGAAGCGTAGAAAGAACAAACAAGCAGGCCACGGCAGCTTAACGATGGCTTACGGTGAAATGTGAAAATGAAGACGTTGTTTCGTGGGCGTTGATTGAGGATCTAACTAAATAGTTTTTCTCGCGTCGCCCCCCCCCCCTACTACCCAACACCACCCCTACTACCCAACACCACCCCTTGCACGCACGCACCCTTCACTCTTTTCCCTCCCTCACTTCACTCTTTACTCGTTCCTTCTCCATTATAATGTGGTGTAAGCGCTTTGTATTTGAAAGAAGGAATAGGCCAAGTTTTTTAATTCCCGTTGAGGACATTTTCTACATTCAAAGCAGAGCACCCTGCCGTCATCTCTATCCATCC